TCTACGTTATTTAAGTTATATGTGCTAGTGTTATGGACATCCCCTAGCTTCAGAACCTTGCATTTATCTACACTGAACTGCATCCACCACTTTTCTGACCACGAACTGAGTTTGTCTAATCCTCCTGAAGTTCCGTGACATATACGTTTGAATCAATTATCCTACCTATCTTTGTGTCATCGGCGAATTTGCACATATCACTTGTAATTGCCTCATCAAGGTCATTGATATATATTATAAACAACAACGGGCCCAAGACCTGTGGAATGCCACTTGTTACTGTTTCCCTCTCGGATTTAACCCCATTTAAGCACACTCTCTGCTTCCTGTTGGTGAGCCATGACTCGATCCATGACAGCACTCTTCCCCCAGTGCCATGAGCTGCTACTTTTTTTAACAATCTCTGGTGCGGTACTCTATCAAAAGCCTTACTAAAATCTAAATAAACAATATGGAATTCTTTATCGTAATCAACAGTCTCAAAAGCCTTACTGAAGAAGGTTAATTAGTTAGTTAGGAATGGCCCCTCGTGAATCCATGCTGAGTATCATTAAACAAATTATGCTTATCCAGAGGGCATCTTAATTGACTCTAGTAATTTGCCTACAATTGACAGTAACGACTTGTCCCCTACTTTAAAAATAGGAATAACATTAGCAATCTTCCATCAGGACCCGGCGATTTATTTTGTTTCAGTCGGTCTATTTGTTTCATAATCATTTAGCTAGTGACTGTGATATTGCATAATTTATCTTCTTCAGGCCTAGGCCTACTATAAAAATTAATTACTGGGATATTGTTAGTGTCTTCCTGTGTGAAAACCGAGAGAAAGTAATTATTAAAAATTGAGCACATTTCTAAGGGGCCCTATCTTATTTCTAACTTTTGTTCTATAAATCTGAAAAAAAACTTTTGGTTTAGTTTTCGAATCCCTAGCAATTTTCATTTCGTAGTTCCGTTTAGCTTTTCTTATTCCCTTTTTAACGTTCCTCTTAATGTCAATATATTAATTCACAAGATAACCCTCACCTCTTTTGATGCGCCTATTAATTCTTTTTTGTCCTAAAAGGCATTTGAACCTATTGCTCATCCATTTTGGATCATTTCTATTCGATCTAATTTCTTTATACGGGATAAACGTTCTTTGTGCAGCATGTATAGTGTTTAGAAAGCTGTTGTATTGATAGCTCTCTTCGTTACCGCAGTCAACAGATGATAAGTGTTCTCTAAGCCCATTGTAATCTGCTAAGAGAAAATCAAGGACAATTACCGAGTTGTTCCTACTATCATATTTCCATTCAATGCTAAAAGTCGCCTGTGCCGAGTTCCTCTGTAATTTCTAAATTATTAACAAGGGTTTCCTTGTTTGCCAGAACCAAGTCAAGCAGGTTATTTCCCCTTGTAGGTTCTGTCACAAATTGCTTCAAAAAACAATCCTGAACTATTAAAATCCCCTAGAATTACTATGTTTTCGTGCCTTGGGGGCCTTAATAATTTCCTCCCAAAGTGATTTCCCTTGGTCCCTATCTAGGTTTAGGGGACGGCCTGTCACGCCTAAAATCATTTTCTCATACCCCTCTGAAAATTCTACCCAGGCAGACTCTGTATGTGTTATTTCAGACATTATACCTGTTTTTATGCAACAATTTAAACGATCTCGGACATAGAGTGCCACCCCACCCCCCTTACCGACACTTCTATCTACTTGAAACAATTTAAAATCCTGAATGTGACATTCAGCAGTCATGTCCCTGTTTTTCATATTAAACCACATCTCAGTTATGGCAAAATCATCAATGTTACCCGCACTTGCAGCTAATCTCAATTCGTCCATCTTATTTCTCGCACTACGTGTATTAGTATAAAATATCTTTAGAAAACCTCCCTTCTCTTTTCTCTTCCTGCTGATTTCTGTTCCTCCTCTATACCTGTTACTGTCCCTGTCATCTAGTGCCACTGGGTTTCCAGTATTCACTAATAACTCTGCCTCATTCTGCCTGTTACTGATTTCCCTAAAACTCACCCTATCGCTACACTGAGAATTCATTGGTTTTCCACAAAAACAATACCACTATCTATTTCTAGTCTAAAGACCTTACAGCTGCCTCCACTGCATTGACCAGTTCTCCCACCCCAAACCTAGATAAGTGAACGCCATTCCTGGCATACATGTAATTTCTACCATAGAAGAGGTCCTAGTTGTCTATGAGTGTTACTCAATTTTCCTTACAGTGTTTGTCCAGCCAGCAGTTGAGACCAATTGCTCTGGACAACCATTCATTTCCTACTCCTCTCCTGGGCAAAATGCCACATATATAACAGGGTTACCACCCTTCCTCCTAACTATCTCTATTGCTGTCCTATACCTGTTAATCAGATCTTCACTCCTACATCTACCAACATCGTTGCCTCCCGCACTGAGGCAGATCATAGAACCGCTCACATTACTTTTCCTGATATTGTCTAGACGGCTAACAATATCCCCCATCCCAGCCACAGAAAAACATACCCTCTGTCTCCTCTTTCTGTCCCTAACACAAAAAGCCCTATCCGTAAATTTAACCTGACTGTCCCCAACTAAAACAATATTCTTACCTTCATTGGTGGAGTTCGTCGTGACTTTCTCGATGGTCTTCATTGGGGTTTCAATGGATGTCGACTTACTCTCGTCCGCAAATGCTTCCTTGGTGCTCGTTGTGACTTTCGCAGTAGACAACCCACATTCGTCAGGTAGCACCGAAAATGGGCTGGAAGTTTCCACAGTAGTCTTCTGGTTCTTCGTTGTTTCAGTCACTCCAACAGTCTTCTTGATCTTCAGCTTCGTTCCATGTTGCCCGGCCACTGACTAGGTTCCCCTGTTGACCTGAGGACTTACAACAGGAGGATTACTACGAATCCTCTTGTTTTCCTCCGTCAATCGCCGTATCTCGAGCTTAGTAACCCTAAGCTCCTCTTTTAGTTAGATAGAGTTGCTCAAGAGAGGACATCTTGGTTCAGATTCACAGAGAGCACACAAGACAATTCTTCTCAGAGCTAAGTACAGGTTACCACTGGGTAAGCACAGGTCACCACTGAGCTTAGTCGTAACTGATCTCTCTCTCTCTCCATATCTTCTGTAACTCCATTACAACTTCTGGCCCATCTTATTCACTCGGTCTACGTCCATTAATATTCCCCGCCCACATGTGACAATGTCTTCAACGGCCACACCTCTCCTCTGGCTCTTCTATATAAATCTCCATCTTTTTGCCCTTATGCCTTTGTAACAGCCTGATAAAACTTGCTGAGCAGATTACCATTTCTACAAGAATGACATCCAGGTGTTACTCGTGTGTTTATGACTCATTCTAGTTTCATGTACACCTTTCCTTCACTATAATATAATGTGTGCCATTCCCTTCACGCTCGTATAATGTACTATACCCTCCCCATCACCCCGGTACGTTGTACAATGTTCCTTTCACTCTAGTACCATGTATGTGGCATCCTAAGGGGCCCCATCATTATACCAGTACCTTGGTTCAACCCGCCAGTCACAAGGAAGCTTGCCGAAGCTGTGAAGTGATGTGGGACACTCGCGAAGCAGCATTGGTAGACTTACCTTCCAAGCTGGTATCATACATATACTACCCTCCACACTAGTACCATACATATCCTTCCATTCATTCTAGTACCATACATATACTATGCTTCACACTAGTATCATACACATCCTTCCCTTTACTCCTGCACGTTACTTATCCTTCCCTTCACTTTAGAAGCATATACACCCTTTACTTTATTACCCTGTACAGTCTTCCCATCACACTAGTATCATATATATCTTTTTCTTCACTCTAATACCATACACATCCTTTCCTTCCCTTAGTGCTATTACCGTTTTTTTAATACTACTACAACTACTACTACTACTACTACTACTACTACTACTACTACTACTACTAATAATAATAATAATAATAATAATAATAATAATAATAATAATAATAATAAGAGCAACATCAACAACACTAACAACAGCAGCATCAACAATACTGATAACAAAAATAACGTAAATTCAGTCTTTATTTTCATTCTACTACAAACTCTTCCTTGGCTTCACTTCTGAAATATTTCTTTGGGCCATCTTGTGTTTCTCCATCTTAATATGGATGTAAACATCTTATTAACATTACTACAAACATATAGTTCTTCTCACGTCTTGTGTCATCATACCGTATATTATTCAGAGTATAATGGCATTTTTTTTTTCCACTGGATGGGATCCTTAAACGCATACAATTGTTCAGTCTAACAATTAAAGGATTATTTTTTTCTCAATAACAATGTAACATTACTTTATCTCACTGTAACGTTATTAGCCTATACCTTGCATCACTCTACTACTTTAATATTACTTGATCTCACTCTATCAGTATAAGCCCATCACTTGCATAACTCTAGTACTATTTTTCTAGCACTAGTACTGTGTCATCACTCTGGTATTATAAATCTCATCTTGCCTCGCTGTGGCACAGTCTTCTACAGTATTCCACTTTTTAAACTCTTACATTGCTTCATTCTAGAGATGTATTGGATATCCGCATTTGCATCCGTGGAACATCCGCACAATTTCTTACATCTGCATCCTTATCCTTATCCGCATTGTACTGTAAACAGATATACGCACATGCATCTATATCCGCAAAATAAGTAAGTAATCGTCATACACATCCGCATCCGCAGATACTTAATTTTCAAATCCTATACATCTCTACTTCATTTTAGCACTAAAGTCACGATAGCTTCTCATGTGGTATTTCCATACATTGTGTTGGGAATTTCGTGTGACTGACCATTAGTGAGATTCTGTTTAGAAAAGATAGAGATATAGCAAAACAAGACTTATATATGATACTTCATGTACATGTGGCATTCTCAAGGTCTCCTTTTGTTATGTGTCTTTGTGATCACTTCTTGCTATGTCATACTCCAACTAGTGAGATTGTATTTTCCTGCAGATCTGCGTGCAGATGTGGTGGTGGTACACAACTCTTACTCCGGCACTGCTCACTCAGGCACTGAAGAATTGTCCTTAACCTGCATCGCCCAGGATGAAACTACTGTGCTCACCAAGGACAGCATAACCAGATGGTCGTATACATCAGATGGCGCTACAAGGAAAGGTAGCGATGGTTCTCACTTTGATAAGGAAACTCACTTTACAATGTATAATTTCCTTCTAGAGAGGTTTCGGTCGGCTTGAGCATTATAAAGGCATACCCGAGGATAAATTACATGTCAATAAGTAGGTGAGGGAGTCAGGAGGTGAGACTCACTGGTTATATTAAGCAGAGCTGCACGTGCCAAGAGGGTCACCCAAATGTATGTCATGGACATGCTCAAGTAGGACGAGTTGACTTAAGAAATCGTAATGACACGATTGCAAATAAACCATACCCCCGGCCGGGATTGAACCCGCGGTCATAGAGTCTCAAAACTCCAGCCCGTCGCGTTAGCCACTAGACCAGCTAGCCACAATAAGATTCATCCAACTAGGTATATTTCTACACCATAGGAAGGTTAGCACAGGCACCTCTGTGACCACAAATGCAAGTTTTTACAGACGAATCTCCAGCTAGCGTGGCCGTGACGAACTCTAGCTCAAGTCCCTTCACTGCCGTCAACATGACTTAAGAAATCGTAATGACACGATTGCAAATAAACCATACCCCCGGCCGGGATTGAACCCGCGGTCATAGAGTCTCAAAACTCCAGCCCGTCGCGTTAGCCACTAGACCAGCTAGCCACAGGTCATAGAGTCTCAAAACTCCAGCCCGTCGCGTTAGCCACTAGACCAGCTAGCTGGTCTAGTGGCTAACGCGACGGGCTGGAGTTTTGAGACTCTATGACCGCGGGTTCAATCCCGGCCGGGGGTATGGTTTATTTGTAATCGTGTCATTACGATTTCTTAAGTCATGTTGACGGCAGTGAAGGGACTTGAGCTAGAGTTCGTCACGGCCACGCTAGCTGGAGATTCGTCTGTAAAAACTTGCATTTGTGGTCACAGAGGTGCCTGTGCTAACTTTCCTATGGTGTAGAAATATACCTAGTTGGATGAATCTTATTGTGGCTAGCTGGTCTAGTGGCTAACGCGACGGGCTGGAGTTTTGAGACTCTATGACCGCGGGTTCAATCCCGGCCGGGGGTATGGTTTAAGACGAGTTGTTGTGAGGAGGTTGTATTAGCTATAAAAAATATCCCTTGATTTTTTTTTTTCGATGGTGTTACTGGTTTTCTTTAAGTTTCTTGCTCAATAATTTTTTTTCCTCTTCCAGTTCATGAAGTGTGATTGTTTCACGTGGCCCGGTGGCCTGGTGGCTAAAGCTCCCGCTTCACACACGGAGGGCCCGGGTTCGATTCCCGGCGGGTGGAAACATTCGACACGTTTCCTTACACCTGTTGTCCTGTTCACCTAGCAGCAAATAGGTACCTGGGTGTTAGTCGACTGGTGTGGGTCGCATCCTGGGGGACAAGATTAAGGACCCCAATGGAAATAAGTTAGACAGTCCTCGATGACGCACTGACTTTCTTGGGTTATCCTGGGTGGCTAACCCTCCGGGGTTAAAAATCCGAACAAAATCTTATCTTATCTTATCTTATCTTCTCCTGTAGATGACACAAGCACTTTTGAAATATTGAGTGTTTCACAAGTACTCAAGTTCTAAGACCCTGATACTTAAGCTGTGTGAAGTATCTCCTTTGTAGGTCAAGCTACAGCCAAGCATGAAATCTTGTAGATGCTTACCTTAGTAATGAACTCTGTGTGTATCTATGGTCGGAAAATTTCTCGGAGAGGTTTTCATGAAAAATTAGTTAGATTCAGGTAACTGCATATGAGTGCAGGAAAATTTTTGCTTGTGTAATCAGCAAGGAGAATCATTCCCACCTACTGAACTAAGAGAGAGCTGAATTTATTATTAAAGAAATTATATAAAATATTGAATCAAGGGCTCTGGTGGCCTGGTGGTTAACGCTCTCACTTCACACGGTGAGGGCCTGGGTTCGATTCCCAGCCAGAGTAGAAACATTGGACGTGTTTCTTTCCACCTGTTGTCTATGCTCCCCATCAGTAAAATGGGTACCTGGGTGTTAGTCGACTGGTGTGGGTCGCATCCTGGGACACTGACCTAAGGAGGCCTGGTCACAGACCGGGCCGCGGGGGCGTTGACCCCCGGAACTCTCTCCAGGTAAACTCCAGGTAAGGAAACTATGATCCAACCAAATATCATCGCTTAAAATCAGGGCACATTTTTATCTCGTTAGGTTCCTTGTTCAACTTATCTTACATGTAGACCAAGACCATTACGTCAAATTCAGTCATAAACGGGAAAAAATTCCTTACGAGCTGATTTTTCCAGGATTCACTCAGAGTGAAGATCTAAGTAACATATTAAAACATCATTGGAAACCGAGACCAAGAAAATCTTGAAATTCAAGATGGCCTCCAAAAAGATTTCATAACGATAATATTGAAAAATCCCTAACTCTGCATCAATAGTTTTTTGGTTAAATGTAATTCATTTATGAACGCTAAAAATCCCTCCAGACATTTTTAGCCTGGCAGCTGAGTGTAATGATTATTTTAGTGGAAAAATATTAAATAACAATTTTATTTCAGTAATAAAAGTAAACAAAGCAAAACAGCTGATTTATTGTTCAGCTGGATTTTTTTTAATAACAGTTAATGTGCAAAAGTTGAAAATTTTACTAATTATTTGTTTTTTAAAATGTGGAAATTCATTCACAACGCCAGAGTTAAATCAGATTAAGTCATGACACTAACATCCCCAGTTATCATCAGTACAAGACTTCTGTGTGATGAATGGTTTGAAAAACCGACAAGTTGAAGATTGAGACACTTATGCAGCATATGGGAATCTTTATTCAGGAAACGTTTCGCCACACAGTGGCTTCATCAGTCCAATACAAAGAGGAAGGCGTAAGGAGAGGAGGAGAATGAGGTAATCAGTCCCTCAGCCTGGAGTCGATGTGTTCAGTCCATCAATCTTGTAGAATGTACAGCATAGGGCCGTAGACGTGGCTTATATACTGTAGTGAGGTGAGGTGAAGCAGGTGGAGGCGGGATCATAGTGGTACCATCCACTAGTCGAAGTAGGTCTTCGTCCTAAGGTTGAACAAGTGTTGAAGAATTCTTTGTAACAAGATCCCATGATGCTGCAGTGTCTGACAGTTGTGATGAATGGTTTGAAAAACCGACAAGTTGAAGATTGAGACACTTATGCAACATACTTCTGCGGCTCATTCAGTGGACTCTTTTGAATATAACTCAGGTACATAATGTTTGTGTATTTCCTTACACTCTAAATAGGTTACATAACACTAGGTTAATTTCTCAGTGTCCCAGGTACTGAATGTTGCAGTCAACTTGAATGTTGGAACATCATAGCTGGTAGCAATAATTGCACTTTTATGATCCGGTTAACTCCTTTTCTGCAACCACAAAACAACCACACCTGGTTTTGCAGTCGCGGGAGAGTTGGCTTAACTTACTGCCTAGGACAACTTGCTCTTATTTCAAGGGAGATATTTCAATGTCAATCCACTGATGAACAGTGTGATAGATGGGATGCGATTGATATTTGTCTCCTGCGCTTGTAGGGGGGCAGTGATTCCATCTTAAAAACAGAACATAGATGTTTTACTGACTGGTCTATTATACGTGATGTTGTGCTGTTCGTCTATTGGTTTTTATCCCTGATCTATATAATTGCAGGATAAAAGATTCTTCAGGTTTCCCGATTTCTTCTTGGATACTGTTGGGTAACTTAAATATTTCCATTACGCTCCATTCTTTGCCAGAGCTGAGAACATGTAGAACTCTTAATTTCCCTTTTATGTAGTTGACAGACTGTGTCGTAGCCATCCACCTACTTGGCTGATTGTATTTCCTGAATACTAAAAGAGTTGGATTCTGGGTTTCGGCTACAGAGGAGCATTTGTATATTTGTATTTGTGGAGGAGTGTGACACTAGCATCACTCTGAGGTCGGTGTCTGTTCCACCTGCAATAGCTGGCCTCTCAGTCTGTTCACTGAGTGCCGTTGAGACTATGAGATCAGCATAAGTTTCACAGTATGTTGAATGACTACAGTCTCATTATTTCGAAGGCCCTGTGTAAGAAGCTAATTCATGTAGGGAAGCTTTCAGTGTAGTAGTAACGGTATTTTAGCTGACGTACATCGCACGGAACACCGTCATCGTTCTGCTGTTCGGAATTTTGTTATGGGATGAATTGTAAAGGAACTGCCTAGTATAGGCCAACAGGCCTCCTGCACTGTACTTCCTTTCTTAGTTCTTAGATGAGACCAACAGGGCTACTTGCAGTGGTTCCACCTCAAGTTCTCATGTTTCTCTTTTGTGGTTTTCTATTGTATATTTTTTCTTTTTTTTTTTACAGATCTCTTTTAAATGATCTTAGTGCTGTATCATCATTGAAGCTAAAACACTGTGTAGGTTTTGAAAATTTGTTAGATAATACAAGAGGTTGAGTTAGACCTGAATAGCTTGCGATTGTGGTCAGATTCTGTGCTCCTTGTTTTAGTGGATAGAGCTGTAACTGACTAAGTAGAGGCAATGGCATTAGACTGTAAAGTGACTAGGTCTTCCTCTCGTGGGCCATAGGCTGCTACAATGCTTACTAATAATGTTGATTTATTGGCAAAATACTTGGAAAATTCAAGACGTCATTAATGGACTTCTTTATTGAGATAAATCTTTTCACTAAAAGCTTTGTGTCGCGTTATCATATTAATGAATACAAACGGGGACATTTGTGATGAATGGTTTGAAAAAAACCGACAGTTGAAGAATGGAGACACTTATGCTGAGATGGGAATCTTTATTCAGGTAAACGTTTCGCCACACAGTGCTTCTTCAGTCCAATAAAAAGGTGGAAGGCGTAAGGAGAGGGGAGAATGGAGGTAATCAGTCCCTCCACCTGGAGTCGATGTTTCAGTCCATAAATCTTGTGAATGTTACAGCATAGGGCCGTAGACGGTGGCTTATATACAGTAAGTGAGGTGACTTGAAGCAGGGGAGGCGGATCATAGTGGTACCATCCACTGTCGAAGTAGGTCTTTGTCAAGGTTGAACAGAAGCGTTGA